GACGCATCCCCGGCGCAAGCGGGTTGTAAACCTGCCTGACCCAAGCCCAAAAAGCACTGGGAGAACCGATAGCCACAGCCCAGCCTTGTCCTTGGGGAAAGCCAAGATGAGCAACAACTAGAAAAAAAAAATCTGCCGACCACCAGAGCCTGCTGCTGGCAGCGAGTGAAGCCTGTTCCTCCCAAGCTGCCTGCTGGCATGGCTCCAGGCACAGCCGGGCTCTGTGTAGGTCACCCCTGTGCTCGCTGCCAGCTTTCCCCGCGTCCTTGTTGAAGAGGTGGAGGAGACGTGTTAGCAGAGGAGCACAGGACCGTGTCTGCTGGGGGACGCGTTCAGCCTGCAACACTGCTGGTATTTCTGCTCTCCGTGGATGCGTTTTGACAGTGGAACGGTTTGAGGGCTGTGACAGCACCCGGCCTGAGCCGTGAGCTCTTGCCTCTCTCCCTTCTCCAACAAAAAAGACAACCAGGAGGCCAAGCTCGCGCCGGCCGGAGAGGGGAGCGTTGCCTGCTGCTGCACGGCACAGCAGCCAGCTGGTGTCCAGCCCAGCACGGCTCCTTCAGGCTGGTATCACACTGCTGACTTGGATGAGTCACAGCTGGTTTTATTTTTTTTTTTCTTTTCCTCCTTGTTTTGCTTGCAAGAAAAACCTGTTTTACATATAATACAGTAATCAGGGCTTGACATAAATAGGCAAATGTTATTGTCTGCGATGGGAATTGCACCTGCTGGTAAGAGCAATGAATGCAGCCCATTATGCACCAGGGTCAGTCATTTGTGCAATGAAGTACAACTGTGTTCCTCGCTGCGTTCTTGTGCAAGTCTTTATCTCAGCAGCCGCGAGCGCGTCGACAGATGCACCATCGTCACCTTTGCAGTCTGTCCTCGCCCCGGGAGCCGGAGCAGCCTCTGTTCCTGCAGCTGTGGCTGGCCCTTTCCCAGAGGGGTGGAGAAGACCAAGATGTTCAGCTGAGAGATGTCCCTGCTTGGGTGCTGGCTGCATTACAGAGCCAAGCAGCCTCCTCCCTGAGCATCGAGGCTGCACTTCACGGGCAGGAGGGTCCTGCTTCCAGGATGCGCACGACCCTGGATGGATGCGTGGATGCTCAGAGCGTATGGCTCTTGTATATGGACCTCACTGCAGGAAAAGTGGCAGCGGTCTCACCAGCTAAGCAGGTACGAGCAGCGGTGCTTCAGAGCAGAGGGACTTGCAACACTGGCATAGCTTTAGGCTGCTCGTGTGGAGTCTGGGCTTCCAGCACAATAAGTTTTCTCCAATAACAATAAATAGAGGTTGTCTTGTTGCTGATGGAGTCTGGGCTTAGCTTGGCTAAAGCGGATCCAGCAGCTCTGAAGTGCTGCATCCGCAGCTTAGGCGAGGGCTGGAAGAGGTGCAGTGCAAGAAGAGGAAGTGGGGGGCACGCACCTCTTTGTGGAGTGAAAAAGATGGGCACAAATCCAGTCGGAATGCCAAAATGTGCAGGATGCTGCATGTGCAGGTATTTCTGCTGGGCCAGCATCGAGGGGCAGGGAGGACCTTGAGCTTACAAGCATCAGCATTAGAGCAGGAACAGGCAGATCATGGGCTTTGCTTGCTGAGCTAAGTGAAAGAAAGAGCAGGGGAAAAAAATCTGCTAGCAGTTGCATGTAAAATGGCTCTAAGCCTTACCCCACAGGTTTGTTTGCCATGCGACTGCAAATCTGAGGCTGTAGATTTGCCCTCGTCTTTTCGCTACCCAGCTCCCACCCCCAAACAACAGCCCGGCCAGTGCCTAAGTTAGTTCCCCAGGATCATCTGATTAACAGGGGAATAGAAATCGGACTAAAAATTGAGAGAAAAAAAAAAGAAGCAGAGAGGAAGTTTAACAGAAGGATGCACGCTCTCCGTCACTGATATGGGGAAGATCCCTCCGTGCAGTGTCTCCGCTTGCCAGCGGTCCTGCCCCGAGCAGCAGCAGCCCCCAGAGCCTCTCCATTCCCCCACCGTCACCCGGCCGGGCTCAGCTCCCGCCGGCCTCCCCACAGGCTGGGCAAAGCCCAGGGACGGGGAATAGCAAGTGGTTCGGAGGAACAGACAGTTCCCAATAAGCGCATTCCTACCACCACCAGTCACAGTCTGGTTCCCTTACAAAGACTCTGATAAGGAAGCTGGAATCCCTTTTAACTTCTGATTCGTTCAGAGATAAGTTGGTTTAGACATAAACAAGCGCTTCTGCCACCGGCAGCTCTCAGAAATGCAGCTGCGAGACCGCGCGTTAGCCCCGAGTGGGACCTCACTGCCACTCCCAGGGGAGTTACTCAGACAGCTGCATCCCCATCTGGAGGGAGAAGAGGATGATTTACTCTTCCTCCCTTGTAAGGGTCTTCTGCACAACTCCGTACGCTTTTCTGGGAGAAAGAGAAGGGAGAAGATGTAAAAATAAGGAATGACGTCTTTCGACTGTTACCGGGTTTTGAGGTGAAGTGAAGTCACCTTCCTGGGCTGGTTTTCTCCACGGGGCCCTTCAAGATAATTTTTTACTCAAATTGGGAGAAACTAGAGCAGAACTGTGCTGAGAAAAGCATTTCTCTCAGGCCTCAGCACTGCTTGGAGGCAAGAGGAAGGCGAGGGCAGCTGGTCTGTCCTGCAGCCTGGCTCCCCTCCCTTCCTGGCATCCCTCGGCGTGGGTGCGGGCATGAGGCTGGTGTCAGACACAGGCATTGGGGCAGCAAAGCCCAGACAGCAATACAGGGCTGCTCCATGGCAGGAGAAAAGTCAGCCCAGTCCCTAACACCAGTAGAGACAGGACAGCAGAAGCTGGCACTGTTTGATTTAACCTTTCCCTGGGTTATTGCATCATCCCTTCGAGAGACTGGCTTTTTGGGCAGAGTTCCTGGCTTATTGGTACTCCAACTAGACCAGGTTGTCTTGGCCTTGAGACAGCTCCCATTTTCACGGGTTTAAATCTCTCCAGTGTCACTGTCCCCTCCAATGTTTCCTACAGCTCCTCGTCTGACAGGATCAGCACTCTCTTCTCAATGTTTTTGCTGTTTCTGCCGCTCGGTCCCTCCACCTTGGCGGCCACCTGCTCATTCTCCCTCGGCGCTTTGCGCTCTGCCTCCTGCATCGACTGCTGGATGTACTGCTGGTATGTGGGTGAGAAGTTGTGGATTGCATCCTGCACGATGTCCTGGGGGCTTATAGTCTCCTTCAGTCCACTCGAGATGCTCTGCATCGGGGCAAGGTTTGCTGAAAAACAGGGAGAGCGGGAGGGTGATGTGACATCAGTCAGTCACTGAGGCCAAGCACTCCAAGACTGGAGTAACACTTTTCCTTAGAAATTCAAAGTCAGGGCCTCATCGTGGGCCACTTCAGCTGCGGTGGCAAGGCCCAAGGAGAAGAAAGGCAACCCCAGCTCCATGTTTCAAAGAGGATGGAACCTCTCCAGCAGCATGTGCTATAAAACCATAATCCCCTAATTCTGCCCATCCACGCCAAGGTCTCTTTTCCTATCCACTCTCTGTGGCTCTTGGGTATCATGAGGGAGGAGGGCAAAGGAACTCATGGAGCACAGGTGAAGGAAACTCCTCTGGTGGCATTTAGCATCCCATTGGTAATGCTCTAAGGGGGAGGGTCTCCTCTTACTCACCAATGAAGGAAGGAAAAAGAGAGAAGAGTTACCTGTTGAGTTTTCTTTCTTCTCTCTGTACACCTGACAGGTGAATGCGTAGCGCAGGGCAATGGAAGCACAGAGCATCTCAATGCAGATGATGAAGTTCTGGTAGCCAGCAGCCACCGTACCAGCTCCTACCTCCTTCCCATCAATGAGCTGAACTTCAGGGATCACCCCACATTTCTCCAGGATTGCAAGCAGCATCCCTGTGCAGGGGAAGGGAGAGGGATCAGCTCTGTCCCTGTGTCCCCAGGTCAGGTGGGGCTGTGGGAGGAGAAGTGCTGGGCATGTGTGGTGGGACCCACCTTGCCAGAAGGAGAGGAAGATGACGGCCTTGATGGTGATGAACTTGAGGACCGGCTCAAATGGACGCAGCAGATCCATGGTGGCAAAGTAGAAAAGGAAGAGAGCGTAAAGTGCCAGGCTGACGGAGAAGTTGTAGATGATGGTGATGTAGAGGTAGCCGCTTTGGACGCTGCAGGGAGAGAGCGAGCGAGCTGCTGCCCTGGGCTGCAGGAAGCAAAGCGAGTGCAACCGGAGGCAAGGAAGAAAGAAATGGTAGCGGGGGAGAAGTGCGTGGCTCTGCCAGGGGGAGAGCCCCGCCCGGAGAGGGGGGAAGGAGGGGTAGGGAGAAAGGGGGAGCAGGGTGCCACTCTCAGCTTTTCCTCTGTGGGTGGGACCTCTTGTATTATGGCTCACAGGAGTTTTGTCCCTTTCTTATTTGGGGGTAGTGAGTCTCTGTTCCCTGGCGCTTTGGGCTCCGTGGAGCAGCTCCCTGGTGGGGAGGGAGCTGGCAGGACACCCTGTCCCTTGTGATGGAGCAGGAACCTGTCCCCTTCACCCGACCCAGCCCGACCCAGCATCCTCACTTGAAGTCCCCGTCGTGGTACTTTCCGAACGCCTGCAGGATAATGGTGATGATCGCCATGAGGGGTTTCACGATGCAGAACTGCAGCGTGGCCTGCACAGGGGGAGAGACACTGTGTACCCTGGGCAGCAGGGATGTCCCACCACCCTCCCTGCAGCTCCTGCCACCCCTGGCCCCTCCACGTGAGCCAACCCCTCTGCTCCTGGGACAGAGACACAGAGGAGAGAGCAGTTCTCCATTACAGGAGTGACCAGTGCTGTGGGGTGAAACATGAACCAGCTCAAGGTCTGCAGACGGGAGGGAGCAGGGCTCCCAAAAGGCAGCTCCTGAAAGGCAGAGTAGCTACTCCGAGGGGGAGCACCAGGTGGCTTGGGGACAGGATTCAGCCAGCAGCGCAGCGCAGGAGCGTCAGAGAGCCGTCCAGGCTGACCTGGGACTGGACAGAGATGGCAATCTCAGCTCTGCAGTGGGAGGAGACCCTGACTCAGCAGTGAGTCAGAGGCAAGGACAGCGAGCGGGCGCCCTGCTGCTGGCCAGGTGCCTGCAAGCTGGGTGAGCTGCTTCCCTCGGTGGAAAAAAACCCAAAAAGAGCATCTCGGGAAAGCGGTGAAGCAGAGCCCTCTCGGCAGGGCAGCAGGGAAGGGAGCTGCTGCCCAGGGAGCCCTCATCAGGGGGGAGCAGAGCCGATGTGCCCCATCGGGTACCCACCTGCTTGCAGAAGCGCAGGAACCCGATGGTGTAGGACATGCCCTGAAGGCAGCAGGTGCCATAAAAGCAGCTGGACCTGGAATCAGAAGCCGAGGAGATGCCATTGCGGCTGCTCTGTGGGGGAAAGTGGGCGGAGGTCTGAGGAACTCATGGGATGCTGGGACTTACGCAATGGGCTTCCCTCGGATCTCTGTCATGATAGTGCTCTCCCCTCCGAGGTACTCGAAGCACAGGCTCAGGAAGCTGTATATCGCGAAAGCTGGCAAGGCAAGGGCGGGCATGATCAGCAGGGCTGATGGAGGTCTGGGGTAGGGGTTGTTACATTTCACATTCCTTCCTGTTCAGGTGTCTTATCTACCCCAGGACCGCATGAGAATTCGGGACACTGGTGGGTGGGAGCCCAACGAGAGGAGCAGCAGGTCAAATCTGTCTGACTTCCAAGCACAGTCAGATGCACCCGCCACGTGCACAGCGTTCACTGCAGAGGCAGCAGCTCCTCCGTGCACACACAGCCCCTGAGTGCATGTGGCAGCAGTCAGATGTCCCAGCGGTGCTCATGGAGCCAGCCTCGAGCCAGACAAGCCCAGGCAGGAGTGCAACGGCCAGAGACCATCTGCATGGAAGGACCTCAACAATGCCAAGGGGCAGCACAAGCAGCTGGTGGCCAGCAAGGAGCAGGTCTTGAATGGTTTTCTTGGACATCACCATCGCTTACTTTCTATATACTCCAAACCTGAAGTAATACACATGCCCACACCCCTCTGTTCACTGGGGCAGAGCATCAAGGTGGAAGAGCAACCTCAACCTCAACTGTGACAATCTTCCCCTGCATCTCAAAACATCCCAGCTCCCCTATTTCTTAGGTATGTCTACCTTACACTTCAGAGAAGCTGCATTTCTACTCCAAACGCAGCCAGAAAACCTCTTTGCCCGGGAGCATGACGCTGCGGTCCCTCTGAGCCTGCAGGCAGGCAGCAGAAAGGCACCAGCTCGTGTCTGCCCATGGGGCATCCCCTCCCTGCTGCTGTTGGAGAAGGAAGGGGAAAACCCCTGCACAGGGAAAAGGAGAGTGGGAAGCGAAAGAGATGGAGATTTGCCACTTTGTGCAATCCAGGACACTCCAGAGACACAGGTCAGCAAGATGAGAGCCCTGCTTTGCCCATCAGCCTCCCTGCCAAGGAAAGGCTTTGCTCACCTTCGTAGCAGTCGCGCACCGAGTCAAAGTAGACGTAGTACTGGTGGCTGCCGAGGAGGAGGAGGCTGAGCCAGGAGTCGAAGGCATAGATGGGCACAATGAAGAGGATGCGGATGATGTAGCGCTGCTCCTTGGGTACGGTGTAATTCCTCAGGTGTGTGTAGATCTGCAAAGTGCCCAGTGTGCAGAGCTGTGGCTACTGCCAGTCAGGAGGGGAACAAGAGGTACCCCCAGCCTGCAGCAGGCTCATCCCGTGTCAGCCCTCCCGCTGGGGGTGAGAGCACCGCCAGCTTTCCACCACAGCCCCATTGCGGTGAACAGACACATGAGACAGGCTCCATCCTGGTCCCCGGGGCAATCCTTTCCACGTGGAAACTGGGTCTCTTCCTCGGCACTGTGCAAGGAGTGTGCCCTCCTCCATGCCAGCCCACGTGCAGCCCCATCCCAGCGCTCAGAGGCACCAGCTTTCCCCAGGGCTGCCTTCAGCAGCATGGATCCGTACAGCACCCAAAGCCATGCCCGCTGGCAGTACATTTCAAGGCAGCCGGCAGCCCCCACCCCAAAGCCACAGACCCCGGGGTGCCAGATGAGAAACCCCGCTGGGTGCTGCCTTTGGGCAGTGCCGATGCCCTGCAGCTGCTCCGGGCTCTGGCAGCCACCTGGGGAGTGCATGGACAAAGTCCACCCTCCCCAGCTGCCAGCACGGGCTCCCGACAGCAGAGATTTCCCCTCCGGGCACCAACAGGAGGAAATATCCATCCGGAGCTGAGTGATTTGCAATGAACTTGGGGGGCAATCAATAGGCTTGCCCTTGCATCAGTCCCGGCACCGAGCCCTGTCTCTGCTCGAGCCCATACCTGGTGGAAGGTGACGATCAGCGCTGACCACACGAAGATGCCGGAGATGACCTGCGCTGCTGTCGTGGTCAGGAAAAGCTGCTGGCTGTCCTGGGAGTTGTTGTGGGTGGCCATGAGCTGGGCAAGGGCTGGGGATGGAGGGGCTGAGGACAGCCGGGCTGCTGTGCCGGGCCCCAGGGTGCCAGGCAGCAAGGGAGAGAGCAAGGCACGTGTGGCATTACTCATCTGCAGGGAGGGAGAGGCAAGGGGAGCGGCACAGGAAGGCAGGAGTGAGGTAAGCTGATGAAGGGGAAGGCCCCAGCAGATTTCCCAGCCCACACAGTACAGACAAACCTCCTGTAAGGTTTATCTCCTCCCCAGGCTTTTTCCAGGCTGTCCCTCACCCAAACCATCCTATTCACCATGGCTGGGTATGCTTCTCCTAGCAGGAAAATCTAAATGTCCTTCAAAAGCAGACCCTCTTTTCAGTGAGGAGGTGCATGCGGTCCTTGTGTCCTCCAAAACACCTGCTCCTCCTTCCCAGCCTTGCTTCTCGTTTTCTCAGGGGTCACCATCCCACTTGAAAAGGAAAGACCTGCCTGCACTTGTGCCCCTGTGAGTTCACACTGGTGGCTTAGGACCCTTTTCCATCAGGAACCAGAGACTTAAGGGTTAAGGTTATCCCTCACCCATGATAATAATGAGCCCCTTACCAACAAGCCATCAGGACACTGATGTCCTCCTTGGGACCCCAGAAAACACAGGGATCCCTGTGGTCCACCCCCCAAATTCAGCTCCTTTCCTTGTGCGTGGCCTGCTGGGGTAAACCCAAGGGCTGCCCAACAAGCTGGAGGTTTGGCATCACCCAGGGCGTTTGGCCAGCCTTGGCCATTTTGGTATCGTGAGGGTCTCGATGTGTACCCTCCTGTACCCGAATTAAGCACCAGGGAGCAAGTCTGCCGTGCCACAGGCAGAGCAGGCAGAGCTGCTGCCCTTTGGGGATGCTGAAGTGCTCCGGCATCTCCCTCGCAGGTCTGCTCCCCTCGAAGCCGGCTGCCCCACGGCGCCGAGCATTCCCGTCATAGAGCGTGGCTGAGGTGTATGGGCACTGTGTACCCTGTGGCTCCAGATAGCAAGGACCAACCTAATAATATGCTCTTATTTATAGGGCAGCTTCATATCTCAAGGCCAACAGATGCACAAACTGCCATGTCTGGCCTGTCTTTCTGCTAATCTATGGAAAGCTGCTTTTTCCCCAGTATAACAATAGCAGTTTAAAAAAATAAAACCAACAACCTGCAAGCAGAGCTCTAACAATACAGATGTTTCTCGGTGCATTGTTAATAAACAAAGATTTTAGCTGCTGGGTAACTATTGCCTGGGGGTAAAATGGTAAGCAGGAACTGGTGAGAGGCAAGAAAATATCTGCCACAGATAAGAGTGATAGGGAATGACCTCGGTCCCATTAAACACAGAAAACAAACCAAAGCAGGAGCTCACCCTGCGGCTTCCTCTCCTGCCCTCTCCCCGAACTCCAGCCTCACAGGAGAGGAAACTCAGATGGTGTCAAATCAACAGCCCTAAAAATACCTTTCCCCTGCTCTGCCTGGCAGGAGCTGCCTGGAAGCAGAGAAGGGTGGCGGCGTGCTGGCGAGGTCCCAGCAGCTCACCCCAGCGTACCTGCGCCCGCAAGCGGGGAAGTGGAGCTGGAGACAGCTGGAGAGAGAGCGGGGCCGATGACAGCGTTACAGAGATGGCGGGGAGCCGAGTTTTTCCTCCCTGCGACCATTCCACAGCCCTGCCCTGCAGGAAGCAGGATCCCGGGGAAAGCCAGGAGGGATCTGGTCTTTGGACAGGCCATGATGACGCCGGACCTGCCTTGTAAACATTAACAGGAGGCCAGAGATAGCTCATGGCGTGGGGAGGGAGGCGAGAGCCTGACTGCACACCATTTCCTGCCGCTCCTGGCTCTTTCTGGGGGCTGCCCTGCCACGGACTGGGGCTGTACGGCTGGATTTGGCCACGCTTTCCCTCTGCCCAAGCATCATGATAGGGAAGGCTGGAACCCAGCTTGCTTCCCAGGACACGGCAGAGAGCTGTGCTCATCACTAGACCCATTTACTCTGTTTTCAACCCAGTGCCGTGCCACAGATTCTTGGCCCAAGACATCCCGACTCCTATCAGCTTTCCCAGCCTGGCTGCAGCCATCGCGGTACAAGCCCAGTGGCACCAGCAGCCGGTCCTGGCAGGCTCTCCTACATTGTCACACTCTGAACGCGGCAGAGCAAGTCATTAAAAACAAAAGCCTCGGTGCCGCTTGGAGACAGGGCTCCCAGCTCCAGAGGTAATTAGATCCCGGCTATGCAAGGTAGTCGGGCAATTCAATGCAGCTAGAGGGCCATTTGCTTCCAAAACAAAGGCAGCGAGAAGATACAAGAGAATAATATTAGCTGCAAAACCCAGCTCCTCGACGGGACTGCGCCAGTGCCATATCCAGTCTGGCTGTTTTCAGACACTTTGCAGATACCTGCCACGCACAGGTGTGTACCTGTTCCACTCACTCCCTGGGATATTAGAGATGCTAAGTGAGCACTCAGCAGAAAATAAACTGAGCAGAGACACCTGTGTTCAGGCAGACCAGCTGCAAATAGGGCTTTTCGCTTGGCCAGGGATTCCCCTCCAGCCACAGGCTGCCAGAGCCTGGACTCCCAGCTCACATCGCTCCCAGCGGCCCGGAGCACCCGGGACAAATCCCCATCTCAGCAGCCACCACGGGGCTGGGTGGCCGGAAAGCAAAGGCGATCCCCCCAAAAGTGCCTCTGCAGTGCTGGCTGCGCTCCCTGGCAAGGGGACAGAGATCCCAGACCCCCACCCCGGGGAGGGGAGCAGCCAGGCTCAGCCCCACCAGTGCAGGAGACATGCCTTTCCTCCTGACTGCTTTCAGATAAAGCCGGGACACGGGGGTTATTCACCTGATCAGCCTCTATCACCCCCACACCACCCAGGAGGAATGACCTACAGCACACGGCTATAAATTAAGGCAAGGCAGCACCAAGCCCTCCCTCAAACCCGTCCGGAGGAGCGGGTGACGCATGCACATGGCTCCTGCAGCCAGCTCTGCCCTTGCAGCAGCTCCCACGCGTGTTCGGGGCCGAAAGCTGTGGCAACCTCTGTTCCTCGTGGGGTGTCCCCGGCTGCTCCGCACCCCCCAGACCCCACTCACCCTGCAGGGTTCCTCCGTCCCCCCGGGCACCCCCCCAGCTCCCCCTCGCTGCGCCCCGGCCCTGCGGGAGCTGGGGCGGCCGGCTGGGCTCTGCCTCCCACGGAGAGCTGCCCAACTTACCCTTCCAGTCTGCCGGGCTCGGCACACACGCCCGGAAAGCAAACACAGATGGAAAGCCACGGAGCAGCCCGACGCATGGTCTGTGGCCGGGGCAAGCGCTCTGCCTGGGTGGCAAAGGTGGGTTTTCCTGCATTTGGGAATTAATCCTTACCCGGAGGACAGTGATGACTAAAAGGCAGGCAGCTGGTGATACTGGCAGACTTGTGAATGGTTTTTGGGGCAGGCCTTCCCCCTGGTTCACTGCAGAGCAGAAAGGAGCAAAGTCAAAGGACCAATTCCTTGTGGTTTAATTTATTGCCAGTGGAAAGGCAACAAGACAAGCCTGCCCTGGCTCTTTACCCACCACCCTTTACAGACCAGGTGGCACACAGAGCCAGGAAATTAAGGGGGTTAACTTGTGGTTGGCTTTTACGTAGCAACACTCTGGTGTTAGGGGCATAGCAGCGGTATGCCACTGTATCACCATAGTGGAAAATGTGATTTACATTCAGTTTGCTAATGAATGTATGGCTTCCACAAGTTGCTGGAGCTATGGACACCTTAAAAGCACCAGGATTTGGGAATCACATTGAATTTTGTGTTGGGAAAGAATCCCTACTAGCAAACCAGGATTGACATTAACAAATTCCATGTGCCTCTCTCAGCCCTCCTATACACAAAGTGTAAAAGAGGGAAAATTTGGAGTTCCGACAGATGCAAATCTCTGATTCTTGGAAGCACAGTTCAGAAAATTATTTTTAGAATAAATTTCTTGTCAAGGGCAGCTGCAAGTCTGTAGTGTTTGGATGTACTTTTAAAAAAGAGTTTCATTTCCTATAATCCTGTAAATACTGTAAATAACCCTTACTTCAGAGAAGAGAGTCCTTTCGAAATGCATTTGCTACTTTTAGGGGATTTTTTCCAGCAACAGACATGACCCAGCAACTGGGTCTATGTGGGGCAGGCACAGGCTCTGTGCTGACAGTGCCGATACCAGCAGGTCTTAACACAGCACGAGTCTTCCCTGCCCAGCATCCAAGACCTGGCCTCTGTCTGCTCTGTCAAGTCCACAAGTGACAAAGGTGTAACAGCTCACTGAAAAATTTACTGCTTGGTGTTATTTTTTACAAGAAGAAATAAAACCAAATGTGCTTTCCAAGCAAATGGCAAAAATTTGGCTATCAAGCATTGCATCAACTCACGTAACTTCATCTAAAGCTTTTTTCCAAAGGACTTCAAAGAAACACTCCTGTGTAACCCCCCTCAAACCCTTCTGTCCCCATGGCTCCTATGACAGGTGCTTTAGGAGAGGGACAGCTTCTTGCAGATGGTCCAAGCTATGTATGTGCTGCCTCTCTGATGTGCTGGTACCATGCAATCCATAAGCAGCTGCTATTTTGTCTTCTTCTCACCACTAATTTGGGTTCCTGTCTTCCACCCTGATGTCAGCTTTCATGAAATTTGCGGAGCATAATTATCTGCCTCTCTTTAAAATCGGAGTGAAAGTAGAAAATGAATTCAGAATACATCAGGAAGGGACTGACATAAGGACAAAAGCAGTCATATAGGACTCCTTTCCTTAAAAACAGGCAAGAAAATCTTTGCTATTATGCAATTGCTGTTGATTTGTCACCAAAGCTTGTATTTCAATTGAAGCGATTTTCACAGAGCAAAAAGAAAACAGGTAAAATTAGACTCGTCAATGTTTCTTTTATTCACTCTGCACTGGGTGTTCCCCCTTTGCGGTACAGCGTAGCTACAGAGCCTGGCATCTATCACTCCTCAGGACACAAACGCAGAGCCGTGCCGTTTCCCAAATACACATCCCACCCAATGTGATAAAAATAATACTTCTTGTGTATGTCGAAACAATTGTTCTCATCTCATCACTAACTATATGGACTGCAAACCTGTCACAGTAACA